GTATATAATTATGATATACCCCCCCCCCCCCCACCCCCAGTTCCTGCTCACCCGTGTATGTTTTTGATACAATTCTCTTGACATGTTTTATAATTAAGTGTGTGTGTGGAGTTTGTCAAATTTCATTTTCTTTCTTTTTGGTGAAGATCATGAAGCTTTTTTGTCTTACAGAAATTGTATTTTTACTAATTTTTTAGCATTCGACAATTCGAACACTAAACTACAAAGCTTATGAGTACGGCTATATCGAAATTTTGTTTCATTCGAAAACTTCCTTTTGACTGACTTGGTTTAGAGAACTACAAAGCTGAATCAGAAATTTATTTTTATTTTTTTTTTCTGAAATGGATGAGTTTTTCCTGAATAAAGTGAAAAAAATGAGCATTGGGATGATGACTTTAATTTATGTCTGTGTACTTGTTTGTGTCGGTATGTGTGTGTGTGTATGTGCTCATTATTACCATGTGGCTGTAGTTTAATTGTAACGCTCTTCAACTTGATTCGCACAGTCCTCTACTTCTTTTGTATGTTTGTCACACTCTTGTGACCCGCTATTTCCGGGGTGCCTTTTAAAGTCGAAACAAGACTTAGTGCTGTTGAAGCTAGAGAGGTGAGCAGAGTAAGCCTGATTCCCTGTAAAGACTTCTCTGTTAACATCCACCCCTTTGCGCTCATATGACCTTATGCAGTTGCGAGTGCCGTAAAACCTCTACTAAATATAAATAATATAGATTACATGTACTCACAAACGGTACTGAGATGTAGTGGGTTGTTGGCGGGTTTGCTCCATTCCTACCAAACATCGATGGCCCTTGTCTCTCCTCTTTTGTGTGTGTGTGTATGTTACTCCCGTAACACTCAATTGTTCGGCGTTTGGCACTTTTATGACCTTATTGTGTTGCAAGTGTCGTACAATTTACTCAAAGTAGTCCCAAGTCATGATCAGGTCAGTATAAGGAGAAAACAAACGCACTCGAGCAGAAAGAAAGGTCTACAACAAGGACAGAAATGTACTCTATTCAGTTTTCTAAATACTTTACTTCCGCAGTAGTTCCCCGAGTATACCGTGAACACAAAAATAGGACATAAAACAGGGGTGGCAGATATCCCTACGCGTACATGTACTCCCACAGAAAAGGAAATGGGCTGATGAAAATGGTAGGTGGACAAAAAGATTACTGGATGGAGACCAAGAACAAGAAAACGATCAATAAGAAGACCAGAAAGAAAGTGGGCAGCTGATATCAGAGAACGAACGAGTACTACGCTACATTGTGTACCTTTGTACCGGGATGAGGTAGGTTAAGTAAAAGTAAAACCGCCGATAGAACAGAGTGGGGGCCAATGTTGGATGCCTACATCCTGCAGTGGACAAACAACGCCAAGTTCGAAGTTCAAAGTTCATACGTGCGCGCTGAGGTATCCCTCAAACTCGAACACCACCCCCTGTTCAGGTTGATTAAATCTGTGTGTGGGTTGTATGAAATGAAATACAGTCGACTCCGCTTGTACAATGTATTGATCTCGCCTGGGTTGATCTTCGGATGAGTTGATCTTTTCGTCAGGTCCCGGCATCTCTTCTTTTTCACAGATCCCAGCGGTCAAGTTGAATTTCGGATGAGTTCATTATTATTCATCTCCCCCCCCCCCCCCCCCACTATATATAGAATGTCGTTATAGAGAGCAGGCTACATTGCACATAGACATGTTCTCGCTTTGTTTTTCTTACGTATGGAACTGGTTGAGAAAGCGGGCTACAAGAGCGTACGCCTCGGGCCCTTTCTGCCTGTAGGTGTCACACTGAGGGAAGAAGCCGTGAGGTATCCCCTCCAGCATCTCACACGTGACCTTGACCCCTGCTTCGCGGAGACGATGAGCGTACATGAGACCGCTGTCTCTGAGCGGGTCCAGCTGACAGAGCAACACGAAGGTCTCTGGGTGCGAGGCTGAGAACTGTCCGGCGTAAGGGTTGATCCTTGGGTTGCTGGCCTGGTCTGGGATGTTGCTCACGCTGTTTGCTAAGATGTACGCCAGGGCTTCTTTGCTCAGTCCGGGCACGTCTGCGAACTCTCTCACGGACGGAGGTTCTTCGGGGACTTTGAGCCCCGGGTAAATCAAAACTTGGAAGTCTAGCGGTTCTGGGAGTACGTTGGACACACCACCAGCAATATGGCCGCCGGCACTGTCGCCACCGACGCCGACTTTACTTTTGGCGTGCCCGCCGACTACTGCTCGGTTGCTAAGCACCCATTGCGTCACTACCAGTCCGTCGTCAAAGGGAGCGTACACAGCTTCCGGGCGTGGCAGAAGACGGTACTCGACGTTCACGATGATCGCTCTTGATTCTCGGGCGATTATTTTCAGAACCGCTTCGTGGGTTCTCCGACTGCTGGCGATAAACCCACCACCGTGGAAATACACCAAAATGGCGGGCCTTTCAGGGCAGGAGGCGGGTTTATATACGGATACAGGGATGCCATTTTCAGAGTGAGGGGACGGGACAATGATTTCTCTATCTGTCCCGGAAAAGTCGATCTTCCCGCCAAAGGCGATCCCTGCAATTTCGGTTTGCTTTCGCGCTTCCTCAAGACTGATTTCATGGAATGGTTTGAAGCCGAGTTCTTGCACACGTCGAAAATGGTTATAGGTGTCCGGGTGTATCTTGTACTTCTCTGCAAATGGAGCCCACTGTTCTTTTACAGACGCCATTCTGTCCTGGGGGG